GGGAAAGATATTTTCTTCCTTTGCTGCTAATGCTGTTAACTTGTCTCAAGTGTCAGCTTCCGAACATTACGCAGGAATCCGGATTATTAGGCAGGTTTTTCAAAAACAAAGAAATAACAGTGCTTGGAACTGGCTTTTCAAAACAGTTATACTCTCCAGTTTTCCTACATGCTACCTCTTAACTGTGAGAGCAGTGCACCAAAGGACAAGTATGCTTAATTACAAAAATATTTATTCACCAGAAGTCTCTCTCTGCGAGATGTAGAGAATGCACAGAATGTATAAAGAAAAACGCTGATTTCCTGTTGGGCTTAATGTGTCGGGTGGTGTGGCCAAGCCCTTTGCGAGCCATGGCAGGGGGCAGCCATAGAGTTTTCCCTCGGATGACCCTGGCCCCGCCCCCAGCATGCCCGGCATCATAACGTCACTTTCTGGTGACGCGCACGCCGGGGTGGGGTTCCCCCCGGGGCCCGATCCACCAGTGGCGGGGAACGGGCCTCTGGGGCGGGGGTTTCCCCGCCCCCTGGGGGGACTTGGCAAGCCTATGCTGCAAACTGCTGTAAAGCAACCACTGAAAACACACTAGTGCCATATGTGACAAGGGGCAGCACACTGGCCACAATTTTCAGGGATAGGGTTGCCAGCTCTGGGTTGAGAAATTTCTGGAGATTTGGGGGGGGGGGGCTGGGTAGGGCAGGGCTTCAGCAGGGGAGAGACCTCAGCAGGGTACAGTGCCATAGAGTCCACCCTCCAAAGCAGCCATTTTCTCCATGGGAGCTGATCCTGGTCATCTGGAGATCAACTGTAGCAGCAGCAGATCTCTAGGTACTACTGGGAGGTTGGCAATCACATTCTTGGAAGAATGTAGAGAGAATTCCCAAATTCAATATATTTGAGGGATTACATGTTCTATAAGGACAATCTGTTCTTGCAGTAATGACCTTGTAGTCGCCTTGTTCCCAGAGTCCACCTCCCCATGCAGATTAACTATCTGATCTGTTCATAGATTATGTAATATCTACTTTGGGCAAGCCCATTCTATGGATCAGGAATGGGACGGCAGAGGATGTTCATAGCTAAACTCTTCACTCTGCAGGCTTCTATTAGTAAGAAATATGAGTGCTGAAAGTATCCTACATCTAACCAGCACACACACAAACTCTGGAACCCTGCTCTCGTAAACGCCACAGCAAGCCAACCCTGGCAGCATAGAAAGGAAGGAAAGGCAGAGTTCCCTGTTGCCATTGGTTACCCAGCTATTCCCAGCTCAGTGACCCAGTTTTAGAGCCATTCTCTTGCAAAAGAGGACATCCACAAGATCGGAGACTCTCTGCTTACATATTTAAATCCTACTCCAGCTCTCCACCAATTGGATCAAATGTGTGTGAGTGGGGGGGGGGGGGGGAAAAGACAACAAAAAAATACATGCATATGACAAGGATAAGTAGAGGACTATGAACATGACGCATGGGGTTTTGGTTTTTTTTAAAAAAGTTATGGGTATTGAACCTGAATAAAGGGAGCTAGAGAGACTGCACAGGATCCAAAATTCCAGGCCTGAACACTACCAATGCACGACTTGCCTTTCAAGCCATTTGGCATATTATCTGCAAAATAACAGCAGCACTAATTCAGCACCCTGATAATGTATGACACCAAGTTTCAGTCACTATAGATCATACCTTAAGATGGGTGCTCACAGTGACCCCACAAAAGTGGTTTAAGATACCAATTTCTAATACGTGAACTTGCTCCAAGTCCTTTCTGCGTGAGTAAGAAAAGTCCACCTAGAACAGTGATTTCCAAATTATGTCCCCTGAGAAAATCAACTGAGTTACTCCTACAAGCTCTCACCCATAGAGGATGTTGGTCACTGCAACCCTACACGGTTTACTGTGCTGGTCTCATTTCTTTCCAACCAGCATACAATGAGGTTATCTATTTCTGCTCTTTCTTTCCTTAAAGAACATTTGAACCATCTTGTCAGTCCCAACATAGCAGAATTATGTCCATTTTTGGAGGAGGCTCCCTGTTGCATCTATGCATCTGGCCTTGCTTTCTTCCAGTCAAGAGGCACACTCAGAACAGTTATTCACATCAGACATACAGGGTATAGGCAGCTCCGAGGATGGATGCATAATTATTCCAACATTCTCTAAAAAGAAGTGAAGTGTATATCTAATTGTAATTCAGAAAGGTGTCTCTCAGCTTCCAGAAGTTTGGGAACAGAGTTTTGGAAGCTCAGAGAATTTATATTCTCCTAATAGCAGAGGACATAGGTTGTAGGCCATGCCCTTTCCAGTGATACTTATTTTCCTCCACCAAATGCCCATTACCTTTTGTTGTCTCGCTCTCCCTGGCCAGGAAGGTCCCTCGGGGATTCTCAGGATTGAGTAGTAGCCGTTCAGACTCTCGGCGGGTGATCTTGCCAAAATACCATCTGCAACAGCAGAATACAGATGAACATGGAGAGACTCCATCATCAAGTTAGCCTGCCCAAGTTCCTTCAGTCACTGCTAGCTTTTTTTTAAAAAAGAAACATCCATACACACAACACACATACACTTTCCAAGTTCAGCCCTAGCTGCCCCCCTATTTTTGTGGAGAGGAAGAAAAAAGGCCTTCACTGGTACAGTGAACAAAAGATCAAGAAACTGTGCCGCAAAGAGAAATGCTTAGATTGGCAGTGCACAAGGTTAAGGATAAATTGGGAAAGGA